TTTGCGGCTTACTCCTTGTCAGTCCCTGCAGGTCAGGAGGACGTTCAGAAACTCCGAGGTATCGCTGACGAACTCCGTAAAGCGTTTACAACTGTTGGATTTGTTTATCTGAAAAATCATGGATTGCCAGAAAATGTTGTAAGTAAATTGATCAGAATTTAGAGCTTAAAACCTACATACATACAAAGACTTTATTGAGAGCTGACTAAAATATTATCAAAAGTTAAAATAAAAAACGCATTAAATTTTAATTTCTCTTCAACGAGATGAAACATTTAAATTAAGGCACACGTGTCTGTCTGTCACTTAATCGTTGTTCGAACCAATACGCTCGGACTGCTATTTACTCTGTATCATACAGACGTTTGCGTTTACCTATACATGTTGAGGTAAACGCAAAATTCCAGATGATACAGATTACATACTAACTGTCACTTGTAGTTGTAGGCCTACAGGTTTTGGGGTTATGATTATCCGCTGTAAGGTCATATTACTTGGAATATTGAAATGGTTTCAAGTCAATAACTCTCGAATCCGCGCATGGTTGCGATGAATTCAAAGATATGATGTTAGATTAAGGAATTCGGGTGTGGTGCTTTCTTTGCAATTGAAGGTCGTTCTGTAGATCAGCACCGGTTTCATTTTTGAAGGGGGGGGGGGCACTGTTTACCCCAAGAAACCCAAATTATTCTTGTCAGTACATTTTTTGTCCCCCGCTTTCGCGAAAGCATGAATTAAATTCAAAAAACTTTAACCTTGATATGATTTTCATATTTCATATGTGTATTCCTTGTGAAAGATTAAGAATTGGGTCCAACTTTTACTTTCCAAACTGGATTTTTGAATTGAATATTTCAAATATCAAGTTTTTGATCAGTGTGTTTCATTTAATTTTTGAACAGCTATTTTTAACTTCAAATAAGTTTTCTTGTAAAAAGACCTTTCATTGGATACCAAGAACTTTGACCTTTTGACCTTGACCTTGGAGCTACTTTTTAAGAATTATAACCTTGGTCAATTATATATTCTTTGTGGCAAGGATACAACAATTTTGACCTTTTAACCTTGACCTTGGTTTTTTTAACATCTTTCATTGCATACCAAGAACTTTGACCCTTTGAAAAACTTCTTTCTAAAAACTTATTCTTTTGAAAGGTCTTAGAAATACATATTTTAAATATTTATATTCATTACATTGACCAATAAGACCTTTTGAAAAAAAATAATATTTCGTTCTTTGAATTTGACAAAGTCTTAGAAATCTTAGAAATATCCATATTAATGAGATTTTATTTGAACTTCAGTTTTGATCAGTGTGTTTCATTCAAATCAGCATTTTTAACTATGTTTCTATAACAGATTGAGAACACGTTTGCAATTTCGAAGACCTTCTTTGAGAAACCAGTGGAGATAAAACAGAAGTATGAAAGGCCAGCAGACGACAATCACGGATGGGTGGCCCTAGAGAGAGAAAAGTAACATAAAATTTTAAATTGAGTGAAACAGAACCAGAATACTAAGTTAATTCCTTTCCCCAGGGTATAATTGACGTTTGGTGATTTTTAGTTTGAATCCAGAGAGACCGGTGGCTGATTTGAAAGAGGCGTACAATATGACGTTGATGGATGACCAAGGAGTAAGTATACTATACACATTTACGGGTACAACGTAATCGCAACTTCTTGGGCCTTTCCGACTAATGAAAAAGCAAGTTGTTTTCCGGCCTCTGAAGGAAAAACCCAAGATGATGCGATTGAGATACAAATATTCAGGTCCATGAATGAGCATATACGCAGATACATCAGACGCGGATGTTTTAAAACAAACAAACAAATCAGATTTTTGAAAGAGACGTTGAGCGTAATTTCTTAATATTTCTGAAGTAAATTGGCAATTGCTTATAATTCATAACAATTTTAGTTTTAATTTTCTTTTTATTTATGCACTGTCTGTGAAGATATTCAATTATATAGTGATACATATGAATTCAACAAAAAAAACCCACTTATCTTAGTTAATTTTTATTACATACATAAATGTTCATCAATGCTATTAAGGAAATCGGTATTCAAAACATCAAGCGAAATTGACTGACATCCTCTGCCAAAAATTATATTTAAACCAAATTTAATCTGACTATGCACATTAAATTTTACAAATATTTTCAGACCATGCCTTTGGATATACTCCCAGACTTCTACAAAGTGTTCAAAGAAATGTTTTCATTATCACAAGAACTGGGGAGTCGAGTCCTGGATTTAATGTCCATTGGTCTGGACATAGTATGTAAATTACTTTTTAGAACTCTGTTGGGAATGAATGTAGAAAAATGTAGTAAAATTGTCTAGTTAATTTAATACTTTATATGTTTAATATCAATAGGACCAAACTTACTTAAGGCAGTGCCATCAGAGGATGGGAAACAGTGGAAACGCCACAACTTTACGATCCTTGTACTATCCGCCAATTACTAAAGGTAAATACAATGTATAGTCGTCCAATGCCAAAATTGTTATTGACGTATCATATTGTGAATTTACATAATTTTCAAAAAAAAATATTTCTTTTGATTATTTTTATCAGTTTAAATAATTTTAACAGGGTATCGATTTTTAAACCTAGTATGCAAATAAAATTCCCATTGCTGTTACTTTTATTTTAATTCTCCTCCTTGACATTACCCTTCCAGGTGTTAAACCGGGACAGGTGCGTTGTGGGGAACATTCAGACTACGGGTCCATCACACTGCTTTTCCAGGATGATATCGGAGGCTTAGAGGTGAGGACTTTTTTCTTCACACATACATGTATGTATATCACAGTATATAAAATATGAGTGGCATGTTTGACATCGGAAAATTTTGTTGCAAATTTGTGATTATCTATTTCAATGACAGAAAAGAAGACCATCTGTAAACCTCTGTTGTTCATATTTATGATGGAAGAACTTTTTATAAGCTTTAATTGAAGCAAAATTACATCATTGTCGTCCTGTACAATAATGATTACTTATTTAATACAATATATTCGATCGTACAGAAACATATATTTAAACTTTATTTTAGTCTAATCGATCATAAGAGTTTAAATAATATACAAATTAATCATAATATCACATTTTACCAGCAAAATAGAATTATCAAAAATGCAGCCCATATTACTTAAAAATGACTTTACGTAGAAATGGAAGGAAAATAGCCAATTTTCAGGAAGTTAAAAACGTTTTAACTGCATCAATGCATTTTTAAAAAAAAATAAATTCAGTGTCTGTAGTTTTCCATAATATAGGCATATGGGAATCAGATAAGCATGAAATATAATTCTGTTTTTAGTATAAATCTACTTAAAAGTATTAATGGTTATATTGAATTTAAACGTGAAATGGATGACATTGTGGTGGTTTTAATTTTGCAATGTTTGCGATCAAAGAATTTCTTTGACCAATCAGCCATCGTGAATATTTTCGAAAAAGATTATGCATTTATATACATGTACAATGCATCTTTACACTTTATTTTCCCTTTTTCTATTTGGTGATATGTTTTCATATGTAGCATGCAACAAGAGCAATGCGTTTATTTCAGGTAAAACCAACGGGGTTTGATTACGTCCCAGCTTCCCCAATACATGGTACAGTGTTAGTCAATCTAGGGGACCTGATGCAGCGATGGACGGCAGACAAACTTATTGCAACTGTATGTTAACTTACTATTAAACAGAAAACACAGGATGAATCTTTGCCATTTAGTCAACTTATAATTACATTTGACTGAAACTAAAAGTTTACTGATATGTGACTGAATGGATCTGCCATTCAGTGACAAAGCCATTCAATGACCATTCAGATTTTTAATTAAGTGACTATTCAGTTAATTTATTGGTGAATTTTCATCCTCTGCAAACCGACGTTAAATATTAAATGATAAGTTGTGGATTTATGGAGAAATGTAGCCTTATAAAACATTATCATTAAACGTTAATGCCTTTTACAGAAACACCGAGTCCTCATTCCTGAGAAGGAAGTCACGCAAAAGAAGGGGAGGCAATCCTTGGCATTTTTTGTTCAACCTGACGATGACGTCATGATAAAGTGTTTGGACGGTTCCGGGAAATACGAGGAAATTTCCAGCATTGATTATCTGAACATGAGGTTTGCTGCGACCTATTCACAACGACAGACTTAGAGAGGAACCGATTAACGTTCCCTGATTCTTGTGCAATACTCTAGTATATGTTCAGATGATACATGTAAAAAGTTATGCATGTGTGCAGACAAAAAGGACTATATGTCACATATTTTACATAACATTATAGGTGAAAAAGTTTTATAAACAGTAAAGCTATATTAAAATCTAAAAAGTGGAAAAATACGATATAATAGCGTTTTATTGTAATTTTTTTTTATAACTTTTTATTCACCGTTACTACAAATACCGATCGAGTGTAGTTTTACATTTTTTTTCTAGATTATTCCACTGAAATGAAACGTTACTGTGTCCTAAAAGAATGTTTCACATAAATATCTTCACTTCGCTACCAATAATACGATTTATCTAAAATGGACTTATAAATATTCTTATATAAAAAATATCCTATACCAAAAATACGCTTGTGTGCTAATAGGTATGAAGTTATTATTTATTTTTTATATAAGATACAATTGTAGTGTCAAGAGCCTTTACTGATTTAAAAAAATAAACAATCTGTCGAACAACAGTTCAGATTTGGCTTTTAATTCTCGATTGGAATTATTGTTACCAGTTTCTGTTATCTCCTCCTTTCTTTCGCTGCAATTCTTGCTCTTCCTTCTGTATCTTTCCGCTCTCTTTCGCTGCAATTCTTACTCTTCCTTCTGTATCTCCTCTGCTCTCTTGTGCTGAAATTCTTGCTCTACCCTCTGTATCTCTTTCGCTCTCTTGCGCTGCGATTCTTGCTCTTCCTTCTGTATTTCCTCCGACCTCCGCTCTCTTTCGCTGCCTCCGCTCTCTTGCACTGCTATTCTTACTCTTCCTTCTGTATCTCCTCCGCTCTCTTGAACTGCAATTCTTGCTTTTTCTTCTGTATCTCCTCCGCTCTCTTGAACTGCAGTTCTTGGTAGTTCTTGCTCTTCCTTCTGTATCTCCTCCGCTCTCTTTCACTGCAGTTCTTGTCCTTCCTTCTGCATCTCCTTCGCTCTCTTGCGCTGCAATTCTTGCTTTTGCTTCTGTATCTTCTCTGCTCTTCTCTTTTTGTTATTTGCCATTTTCGCCACCATTTCTTTCTCTTTTGTTTTCTTTCCTGTTTCAGAATTTACCATCTGTTCTTCTGTAGCTTCCTTTTTTATCTTTTTTTTTTCTCTGTCTTCTCCTTTCCTTGGTGTTCCTATCTTTCTTTAATATCTTCTGTACTTAAATTCTACTTTAACCTTTCAACCTGCCTTTTCAATATTTTTTCCTTCATGTTTTCCTTCATTCTTATCTTCGTCCTTTTTGTTCTCGGATTATTTTCTTTAAGATATGCCCTTTGGTTTGATTTTCTCTTTATTTTATCGTCCTTCTTTTTAATCATCCCATCTTTTGAAGTCAGAAAGCCCATATGTTCTTCCTTAAAATTAACTCATTTAAAATAAAGATAACTAATTGTCATATCGATATGTTATAATTATAAAGGTATAACGCTTTTGTTTGTGCCAAGCAAAGTGTTCTTCAGAATAGTGATATAAAGAATTCAAGATGGAGAGGAAAAACAGCTGCACGAGGAACAAGCTAGTTTCAGAATAGGATGGAGTACAACACAACAACTTTTTACCCTCCGTAACAGCATATAGCAATGTATCGAATGGAATTCAACATTGTTTATAAATGATTTTAACTTTGAAAAGGTATTTGATTCCATTCACAGAGAGAGCCTTTGGTCTATCATGAAGTTTTTTGGCATCCCAGACAAACTGGTCCGAATGGTGAAACTCCTATATAAATCATTCCAATGTGCAGTCCTAGAAGATGAGGAAGAAACGGACTGGTTCCGGGTAACAACAGGGGTGAATCAGGAATGCACAATGTCTGGATTCCTATTTCTGTTGGTCATAGTTTACGTAATGAAAAGAATTACAGAAGGAAAAAACCAGGAATAAGGGGGAATTTCACAACAAAACTCGAAGATCTAGACTTCGCAGATGATCTTGCCTTGCTTTCCTCAAAATTTCAAGACATCCAGCAAAAGACACAAAGACTCAAAGAAATTGCTGGACAACCTGGCCTCAGAATATTAAAACATCAAGAAAACCAAAGTGATGAAGGTCAACACTGACTTAAAAGAGGCAGTAAAGACTGATGGACAAGACCTGGAGGATGTAGAGACATTTATTAGTACTTACCTTGAACTTGTGATAAAGACAAGGGGAGGATCTGATGAGGACAATACCAACAGACTGGGAAAAGCTATAAGTCTCAATTTGGAAAGCTCAGAAAAATCTGGAAACAAAAGTAAAGTTATTTAACAGCTTGGTCCTGTCAATTCTAATGTATGCAAGTAAAACATGGAAAACAACGGAGACAGACAAAAGGAAAATTGACACCTTCCAGAATAGATGCCTTAGAAAGATCTTGAGAGTAAGATGGCCTGAGAAAATGTCAAATGAAGAACTCTATCGGAGAGAGACAAAAGAAAAATTGACATCTTCCAGAATAGATGCCTTAGAAAGATCATGAGAGTAAAATGGCCTGAGAAAATGTCAAATGAAGAACCCTATCATAGAACAAAGACAGCTAGAGCAAGTAAAATAATAACTATGAAGAAGTGGAATTGGATTGGCCATGTACTGAGGATAGATAACACCAGGATATATACCACGGCATTAAAGGTGCATGGAAACAGATTTGACGTTAATACTTTCTGTATATTATCACGACTTATCTATTCTAATAGCATTTCACACAAAAATTTATTAAAAATCTTATTTCATCTAAAAGTTACTAGAACTTCAAATTTTTAGACGGTTTGATTGACACATCCTTGCACTTTCACAAATTTTAATTTTATTCTTAGTACTTAAGAAACGTGGCAATCTTGTCGTGTATTAATGGAAATATTAATGTATATGAGAGAGCAAGGATGTGTCAATCAAATCCATCCAAAAATTTGAAGTTTCAACAACTTTTAGATGAAACAAAATTTTAAAAATATTTTTGTGTGAAATGCTATTAAAATATGTAAGTTGTGATATTATACAGAAAATCTGTGTCCATGCACCTTTAACATGGCATCCAGAAGGAAAGAAAAAAGTAAGCAGGCCAAAAACAACGTGGCGAAGGACCACGGAGCAAGAAAGTTACAACTGGGATAGAATGGCTGGGCGTCAGCGAGGGCAGCAGCCAAGGAGAGAGGCAGGTGGAGGCAATGTATTAGGGCAGAGTACATGTGAGGATTGTCATGGTGCAAGTGTCATGCAGTGTGAAGCTTTTGTGTAATGTTTGTATTACTAAATTTTATAATTATAAAATAATTATAATTATAAAGTTTACTGTCACCAAATTTTAGGTGTGTTACTGCACATGCATTCACAATGATACCAAATGTAGTTAGGAAAAAAATATCATGTACCCACCACAGTATTTTAGTGTGTGCACAATGACACTATATAAGAAAGAGTCCGTGAAAGTCTCATTCAATTTCATTTAGTGGTAAAAGGGGAGTTGTGGATAAGAGATGGGTACCTCAAAGCGTAACGGACGGACATCCTGATTACTATATAACCTCCCGATTTTCAAGCGAGGTTATAAAAGGTCAAATGCGCGATAAGACAGATTTGTTTTTTTGGAAGGGGGGGGTTAATATCATTTGTCATAGATGTCAGATAGAAAATTTTCTGATAAGCCAATTGCGAAAAAATGAACTATTCCAAACCTAATAAAAACCCTTTTCAATGAGTAAGATACATGACTTCTTACATTTTTAAGATTTCATTTAATTGTGGTACATGTACTAAATAACGCGTATATAAAGTGATAAGTCCAGATCGCGAAGGGATTACAAAAGTAGCCGGACAATAAATAAAAAGTTCAATGTTAATATCGTGGTAAAAATAAATGAAAGACTTTTTGAATATACTCTAAGTATTTTTTTTATGTGGCCTTTAAGTTTGATCTACTTTGGACAGAAATTAGTTTACACGACTTAATATACATGTGGCATTATTCTCCAGAAATAATAAGAGGTACTTTGAGCATGAGCTCGATCACTAAATGATACCCCCGCCTCCCATATTAATATATTGGCAAAGTCCATGTTTTGCTCTGGGAAACACGAAATAAGTGTCCGATCAGAAAGTAAAATTGGAGGTGAAAATGATATTATGTAATAAAGAATCTGTGAAAGTTTCATTCAAGTTTATTCAGTGTTAAAGGTGGAGTGCAGATAAGTGATGGGTACCCTTCAATATTATAGAAAGAATGGCAGTGTCAATGTTTTGGTTTGGAAAACCAAAATGTGTCCGATCAAAAAGTAAAATAGAAGGTGCAAAAAGGAAGTATGTAATAAAAAATCTGTGAAATATCATTCAATTTTATTCAGTGGTAAAAGAGGAGTTGTAGATAAGAGATGGGCACCCTTTATTATTTAGAAAAAAAACAGATTCCATATTTTGCTATGGAAACCAAAAATATGTGTCAGATCAAAAAGTAAAACTAGAGGTACAGTGAGCAATGAGCTCACTAAATGATACTCCCGCCTCCCATATGATTATAATGACAAAGGCCCTTTTTTGCTCTTTGAGATCCGAAATAAGTGTCAGATCAAAAAGTAAATAGGAGGTGCACAATAGCATCATGTAAAAAAGAATGTGTGAAATTATCATTAAATTTTGTCCATTGGTATAGGAGGAGTTGCGGATAAGAGATGGGTACTCTTCAATACTATAGAAAAAATGGCAGTGTCAATGTTTCGCTCTGGAAAACCCAAAATATGTGTCCCTTCAAAAAGTAAAATAGGAGGTGCACAATGGCATTATACAAAACGATTATGTGAAAGTCTCATCAAATTTCATTCAGCGGTATAAGAGGAGTTGCGGATAAGAGATGGGTACCCCAAAGCGTAACAGACGGACGGACGTACAGACGGAAGGACGGACATACCGATTACTACATACCCTCCCGCTTTTCAAGCGGAGGGCATAATAAGAGATGCACAATGGCACTATGTAACAAAAATTCTGTGAAAGTCATTCAGTGGTTTAAGGGGAGTTGCAGATAAGAGTACCCCAAAGCGTAACGGACGGACGGACTTCCTGATCACTATATGCCCTCCCGCTTTTCAAGCGGGGGGATAATAATTATACCCCCGCTCCGAAGAAGAGGGGGGTATACTGTTTTACCCTTGTGTGTCTGTCTGTCTGTACGTGTGTCGCAGTTTTCTCAGCAACTACCCGGTACTCATCGCAGATGCTTGAAATTTTAACTCAATCTTCTCTGAGGCATGCCATACGGTGGGATACATTTCTTTTGAAATTTGATGTCAACTTCCTGTTTGTCTGTGCGTCTGTCCGTTTCATACATAACACATTTTCACCGCAGTTTTCTCAGCAACGCAGTTTTCTCAGCAACTACTGCCCCGTGGGGATCCGGGTTAGAATAGGTCCTCAGTACCCCCTTGCTTGTCGTAAAAGGCGATTAAATGGGGCGGTCCTTCGGATGAGACCGTATAAACCGAGGCCCCGTGTCACAGCAGGTGTGGCATGATAAAGATCCCTCCCTGCTCAAAGGCCGTAAGTGCCGAGCAAAGGCCTAAATTTGCAGCCCTTCACCGGCGATGGTGACGTCTCCATATCAGTGAAATATCCTGGAGAGGGACGTTAAACAGTATACAATCAATCAATCTCAGCAACTACTCATCGCACATGCTTGAAATTATTAACACAATCTTCTCTGAGGCATGCCATACGGTGGGATACATTTCTGTTCAAATCCGACGTCAACTTCCTGTTTGTCTGTGCGTCTGTCCGTTTCATACTTATCAAATTTTCGTCGCAGTTTTCTTAGCATTTACTCATCGCAGATGCTTGAAATTTTAGTACACCCTCTGTTGAGGCATGCCATATGGTGGGATTAATTTTGAGATGAATCTGATGTCAACTTCATATTTTTCTGTGCATTTGCCCGTAATTAAATTTCTGTATATTGACATGATAGAGTTTATTCACATCAGAGCGGGGGTATTACTAGTGAGCACTGGCTCACAGATTTCTTGTTAAGACTAAGGAAACTGTAAGTCTCAAGTTTCCTTTTATTTATACATGTACATTGTAGAAACTGGGAAGCCAAAGCTGAATTCTGGATTTAATGTACAGTAGTGTTAAAATACTGTTTATTAAATTTGAGAAATATGTTTATTATATTCATCGTTCGGAGAGAGAGAGAGAGAGAGAGAGAGAGGTGGTAGTAAATCCATTAATGTTTTTTGAAGATACCAAGAACACAAGATGACATGTTTTGACAACAACAACCTATTTGATGCAATCAATACGGATGTTTACTGACTTCGTGTATATCATCCCACAGACATCCTGGTTGGAGTTACAGCTATTGCATGTGGAAAAGGTG